TCCAGTTGCTTCACTTCTTTGCCGTCGCTTGTCTTTGGCGCCTCGTTCGTACTCTCCATGCGCGTCTACTCTCTCTATTTTTCTGTCATAACCTCCAAATATTTCCTTTTTCTTTCTTTCGCTTTCTTATCCTTCTATATCTTATCCTATCTTTTTTCTTTCTTTAATCCTCGTTTTTTACTCTTTCTTTTAAGCCCTCTTATTCAATTCTTTGTTTCCTATTCACCCTTCACTTGTTTAAAACACTTCCACTGACTTTCCGTACTTGTTGCCACTTCAGCGATCCGGCAAAAAACTTAGTTAATTATCTGAAAGAATATAAAAAAAACCGAATATATCGTCAGATCGATTTTCATAAAATTTGTAAAATTATGCCAGTAACAAAGTTGTTGGTTTTTTCCTTCTTCTTCCTTCTTCCTCTTAAGAAACAATTAGATGTGGTACCAAAAACCTTTTTCTGTTTTTCACACACTCGGAAACTGCCATCTTCTTAAGTATAGTTTGATTTTTTCAGTTTCTCTTTAACTTTGAGGACACGATGCGGTTTCACCAGGTTCTAGGTTGAAAGGTTTACAGAAGACCGAACACTACAGCAGACTCTATAATCTTACTTTTATTAATTTATAATTTATTATATTTCTGTATGTTATTAAAATAATATAACACTTGTTTTTTAATATATACCAGAATTTACCAGAATAGTCACTGAAAGTGAAGAACCAAGTAGAAAAAAACAGAAAACACTAGATGATCAACATGAACTTGTTGCTGAAGGCACATTCCTTATAAGTCTAGATTCATCATATTCTAGTAATCTTAATACTGAAAAACCACAACATACAGATTCATCTGATTCAATAGTGGCAGTAGCATCAACGTCCACACATTCACAGTGTGACACAAAACAAAAGAAATATTCACTTCATGATAAGAACTATGTACACATATTTGACTATTTATTCTTTTATTTTATTTATTTATTTATTTATTTATTTACAATATATAAACAAACTATATGTATGTATGTACAATATACATAAAAATTTTTAAATTAAATAATTAAATGATTAAACTTTTTTACAGGACTTAGAAAGAATTTTAAAAGATTCAGTTATAGGACAAACTGTTCTATCTGCATATCAATCTCAAGGAGAATTAGATGAAAAGCACAGGAACATTTTAGCTGATATTATTGTAAATGTAGAACTTAAAGATAATTTAGATGCTAGGTATATTTTATGAAATAAGATTAGTAAACAGAGTAAGATCAGAAGATGTATTAATTATATAATAATGCAATAATGTATGTTATAGAGTTACATCTGAACGTGCAAGTTTTTTAGCAGAAAAAATAATACAATTATTTCCAACAGAAGATAAGGTAAATTTTTTTACTTGTACAATATGTGATTTTTTCCACTTAAAAGAAAGAATTTTTATATAATTTTACAGAAAAATTAATTATCTTTTTATTACTTATTAGGACACTTGGATACTTAAAGAAAAAAATAAGAAAAAGAAAACAATTGGGAGAGGTAAAATTTTAATCACAAATATCAAACCATACGAAGGAATCTTATTAAGTGTGGAGCGATAAATGTACAAATAAAAACTAAAGAAGAAGAGAAAGAAAACTTAGACGATTGTTCTGAAAGTATTTATAATTTCATAATTCAAGAAATATTTGCGAAAAATTAAGACATCATTATAAATGTGTGTATATATATAGTTTTTTGCTTTTTTAAAGATAATGATGAATGTGTTTTGTGGTTACAACATAACACTAAACCATGGATAAAAGTTACTCATTTATGGGAGAAAACGTCGAAAATACGTTTAAACTCAAACTATTCAAAATTATATTAACCGGTATCCCGTTTTGAAAGAACCTCAGGGATATACTTTAGTAAGAAAACAAAATTTATTTATTTTTTTTATTTATTTGGGTTTTATCAATATCTCTTTTAATATTGAAATATTTTTTATTTTAAATCTTCTCTAAGTTTTAAAATTACTATATATTTGTAATTTTATTTTATTGTGGTTTAACTTAATCACGTGTTTTATTATTCTTATGTTTTTATTATAGCTGGAGAAAGATTTTGAAATATTGTATCCTGAAGCTTACATGAGATTATATGCA